ATTTAATCTTTATTTTTTACGAAAAATAATAAATATACGGACCAAAATCGGTCCGAATATAAAAATGAAATTTCGTATTCTCTAATGGATATATACAGACCGAATCCGGTCCGTATATATTTATTTAAATAATATTTTATTCATATTTTTTGTTATTTAATATTTATTTTTTTCAGAAATAATATTCGGACTGAGATCGGTTTGAATATTATTGGCGCTTCTATACTGTGGATTCCCGCCAGAAATATACGGACCGATACCGGTCCGAATATATTCATTTGTAGATTTTGTTCCACCTGAATATATTCAGACCGAGATTGATTCGAATATTTATTTTTTCGGACCGACACTATTCGGTCCGTATATGTTCGGTCCGTATACATCATTTTTCTAGTAGTGAAATGCATGTATTTGAAACCTTCTATTTTAATATTAAAATAATGTGTATTTCAATTACCCTTGTACCCAATGAATTTCAATTCTCAATTCTTACATTTCATCAAGATATAAGAAGTGTCCTTTGTGAAATCTTTAATCAATTTCCGTTGCAAAATCCCCTATCAAGTTTTGCCGTTTGCATTTGGGGTAATGTCTGATCAAGGTCCCTTTCTCTCTCTTTGGCTTAGATCTTCTCTCTCTTGGGTTCATGGAGGATGTGATTCTTTGGCTCAAATCTTCTCTCTCTCTCCCTGATAATGCTCCTAAAATAATTGATGAAGACGAAACATATTCATCTCATCTTCAATCACATTGAAGAACAAAACATTTTTCTTTGGAATACTATGATTTGATTATTTTTCTTTTCTTATCAAAAAAATATTCGAATATATAAAACAAAAAACACAAGTTTGTACACTTACATATACACAAGTTAATACATATAACAAAAAACATACAAACACAAATCCATTGAATCTTACTTCATTAGAATCTTCCCTATATGAAGAGAAAAAACAAAGGCATAAACATTCTAGTTTCAACGCATTATATTGCGGAATTAAGTAAGAATCAGAATGTGGTCGATCATAATATTGCAATTTTCTACTGTAATTAAGCAACTTTTGTGTAAATTGTCATGATATTGAATTAATGAAGTATCACAGTTTGATATTAAAATGTGCAATCACATATTGCTAACTATTTCTATAATTAAAATTTAGCCGAATTTCCTTACTTTTGGGAGGTAGAAGTGTATCTCATTTCTATAAGTAAACACAAGAAAAGAAAAATACTAATGTATTAAGTGATGAAAATCTTATTTTGTAGTTTGGATTGCACCGAATTACAAAATGGGAATCATTAAATGAGAGGAAAGACCCCAATGTCATATAGCTCACCCTTGAAAATAATTTAAATTATGTAATTTAGACAATATAATATATTTTTTTAATTGATCATAAACTTTTTAAAAACATTATTAATGAAGAAGTTAAAAATTTACCTATTATATATATGAGTTACACTATTAGAAAAATGTATTCTTTAGACTGAAATATTTCAGACCGTCAAAGATCCATCTGAATAGAAAATGATTCAATCCAAAACCAGTTTTAGTAAAGTAATAATTGATATTCATTAGGAAAAAACTTATGATTTATTTTTTTCAGACCGATAACAGTTTGAATAAAAAAAAAAAAAAAGAATTAAAAAAATATGCTAACGTATTTCAGACTAATAACAATCTGTATAAGAGTACCGAAACAACAATGAATGCAAGAAAATTACAATGATAAATATAATATTATAGAAATTTTTGTTTAGACTGTAAATGGTCTGAACAAAATTTCTTGAACTGTTGCTTTAAAAAAAAAAATCATCTAAACAAATATGACTTTTTTTTTTTTTGTTGTTATTGTTGTTGTTATTGTTAAACGGTCTGAAAAATGTCTGTGCAGAGTATCTCTGCCCAGACATGATTGTTTAATTTTCTTGGTTTTAAGTTGGCAAAAATCCTTCTTAGGCCCCTCAACTTTTTGAATAGCATGTCGCAAGCCCCTAAACTAAAAAAAGTAACACTCCAACCTCACGTTAGGTGCAGATCAGACCCTCTGCTAACTGATTTTGTGATGCTGTTTGTCTTTGATATATTTGCGTGGCGTTGTGCTTGCACGCATTTACATTTTTTTTGGCCTTTACTTCATTTGTTTTTGATAATAATATCTGTTTTTTAATTAATTTATTTTTAAATTAATTAGTTGATACTATAGAATATACATATCCTTAAGTGAGATTATTTTAATAAAATAATGATATATTTTTATTTTAATTAATAATAATTTTGCTTTAATAATTTTTATAAATTATTTCTTAAATTTAATTAAACCACATATCCTTAAGGAAATGCTTAAAATTTATTTTATTAATTAGGTATTTTAATTAAATTTAAAAAGTAATTTATCAAGATTATATATTGCAGTAAAATGTATTATTAATTAAAATAAAAAATATATCATTACTTTATTAAGAAAATTATCA